AAATGGCCAGGAGCCCCACAGAGCCTGGCACACACACCTGGGAAGTCCTGCGGCCTCCCAGCTCACTATTCCTTAAGATTCAGCTCAGGGGCCGTCCATCACCTCCTCTGGGAAGCTTTCCTGACTATTTCCCAGCCTACACTCCTCCCGCTGCCTAGCTGGGTCAGGGACTCCTCGGGGCTCCCACGGCATTCTTTGCCCACCCCACCCAGCACCTACCAAGCTGTATGCAATGGCCACTCTTCTTTCTGCCTGGCACAGAGTTATCACAGATGAGGGAATAATTCTTGAGTATCAAACGTCTTTGGCATAAAATAACAAGGCTGGGGCAAGGGGACTGGAAGGAAGGAGACTGGAAATGTGAATTGTGAGGTGATATAAGTTCACTGGTGAGGGCTTCTCTCTCCGAGGAGGTGAGGGAGACGACCGGGAAATGTTCAGACACGGTCCAGCGGCCACAGGTCAGCCCCCAGGAAATGATACTCCAGGAAACATCTTTTGTTCTCTTAGACAACAGACAAAACCAGTGGGAACACTGGGTCCTTGGAACTACTGCACACAGGCCTGGACGGAGCTCTGTAGCTGTGCCCCAGCCAGGGCCCCCGGTCACCAAGCGGGGTGTGGGGGGAGCACCCCACTGTTCCCCCTCCCCCTTCCTACCACCTACCTTCCTACCTTCTGCTCATTCAAGCCCCCACATCTGGCCAGTTCCCTGCCGCTCTAACGGTGGAGGAAACCGCCACAGACCACGGGTCAAAGCCATGGCAGCACCTGCCACGAGGGGCCCGAGACAGAGGAATGCCACTTTCACTGGGTGAAGTCTTAGAATCCAGACTGTCCTCTGGAGTGCAACTGAGAAATCCGTTCACAGCCCCCCGGAGTCCACAAATAGAAGTCCCCTTAGCTCCCCCACTCCCGGCCCCTTTCCTTCCTGGCACTTGTCACCAGTGTAATTATGATGTGGGTAATGACTTGCCTGATCCAGTGTCTGTCCCCAAGGAGCAGGGCCCTTGTCCGTCCTGTTCCATCACCGTACCAAGGATGGTGCTTGGCCCAGAGCAGGGCCTCTGTGGTGAATGAATTTAAAATAATGGTTTTTGTTTCTTTTTTAAAGAAAGACTGAATGGCTCTCATGGTTATACGACTTGACAGTCAGAACCCTCTACTCACCCCCCCACCCCCACCCCACGCCACCAAAGTGTCAAATAAATGGCAGTGACTAAGTGACAGAAGCACAGGAAAATGAGACTCACAGGGGTGACACGCGGGGTGGAGCCGGGGGTCCACCAGGTGGGCTGCACGGGAGTGCCCAGCGACTATCTACTTAGTGGAGGGATGAGTGGGTCCTGTGGGCTCTCAGCAACCTGAGTCCCCTGAGGCCTGCAGGGAGGCGGAGCCCGCCCTGGTCAGACCCACCAGCCCAGCCCATGCACTTGGCGGCCTACTTCTCAGCGTAAACTCCCAAGCTGGCATCTCGAGAGTCTCTGAGAGTTCGAGAACCATTAATTACGCCTGCACTCACCCAGGTACGGTGTGCAGAGCTGACCTTACAGAAGGGAACAGACATGCTCTTCCGTATCACGGAGCCGATATTCGAGTCCAGAGGCAGGAAATCAAGTGAAGCAGGCAAATGGGAAAGGGAGTCACTGGGGACGGTGCTTTTGGGACAGGGTGCTGGGGGAAGGCGGAGACAAGGGTGAGGAAAAGGGGCGAGCTGGGAAAGGGTCCGGGCAGATGGAATGGCAAATGGAAAAGCCTGGGGCTGAAAGGAGCCTGCGGTGGCAGAAGCTGCCGGAGGCCAGAGGAGCAACGCCCGGTGAGCCGAGGAGCCTGGGTGACAAGTTAAGCTGCCCTGTCCCATCAGCTCTGGGACCCTGGCAAGACAGGATGTCGGAGCTGAGACACAACATGAGTCAGGTCTTGGACGGGAGTGAACTCAGCTTGGTCAACGCCACTCTGTGGCATCCTGCTAGGGCGCGCAGCCCCAGACCCTAGGGGTAGCCCCCTGCTTCCAGCTCAAGCCGGGGGCTGTGGAGTCGTTCTTCTTTACCCTTCAGGGTGTTGACAGTTGTCGGCTCAAAACCTTCAGAGTCCTCGGACATTCTGGGCCCTGAAGACTCTTCAGGATAGTAAAAAATGGAGACTGTGACCTCACTTATACAGCTACATGGCTTATACAGTCACATTCAGTCAGTGGTGCTAGTCAGTCCGATATCTGTATGGACAAAACGTGACTTTTGACTCTTACCTCACACCATACACAAAACTCAGTCCCAAGTGGATCATAAATCTAATTGCAAAAGGTAAAACAACAAAGCTTCTAGATGCAAATGCAGGGGTCTTCACAGCTTTGGGTAGAGATCTTAAAAATAGACACAAAATACGTAAACCACAAACAGAGAGGCCAATAAATTGAAGAGCATTAAAACCAAGAATTTCTGCTCCACGAAAAATACCATTAAGAGATTTAAAACACAAGCCATAGGGGCACCTGGGTGGCTCAATCAGTTAAGCATCCAACTCTTGATTTCGGCTCAGGTCATGATCTCACAGTTTGTGAGTTCAAGCCCCAAGTCAGGCTTTGCACTGACAGTGTGGAGACTGCTTGGGATTCTCTCTCTTTCCCTCTCTTTTTCTTTTGTTTTTTAATGTTTATTTATTTTTGAGAGAGAGAGAGACAGAGTGCAAGTGGGCAAGGGGCAGAGAGAGAGAGATGGAGACTCAGAATCCAAAGCAGGCTACAGGCTCCAAGCTGTCAGCACAGAGCCCAACGCAGGGCTCGAATTCGTGAACCGCGAGATCATGACCTGAGCTTACCGACTGAGCCACCCAGGCATTCTTCTCTCCCTCTTTTTCTGCACGCGCATGAGCGTACACACTCTCTCTCAAAATAAATAAATAAACGTTAAAAAAACAGGCAAGCCATAGACTTAAAGAAACGTTTGCTATATGTATATGCGACATATTTTTTTCTCTAATAAAAGACATATCCATAATATGTAAAGAGCCTCTACCAATGAATCAGGAAATACACACAACTCAATTTAAGAATGAAGCAATGACTTAGAGACTTCCAACAGCCAATAAGCAAACGAAAAGGTATCAAGATCGTTAGTCATCAGGGAAATGCAAATTAAAACCACAGTGAGGTCCCACTACACACCTATTAGAGTGGCTGAAATGAAAAAGACTGATGACCCACTGGCTAGGATAAAGAGCAATGAAAATGCTCACATATTGCTAATGCGAGTACAAGTAAGTGCAAGCACTGTTAGAAAACTGCTTGGCAGTATGCACTAAAGGTAAACATATGCCTTCCCAATGACTGGGCAATTCCGCTCCTAGATATATACCCCCAGAAAAGAGTGCAGAGGGGTTCACCGAAATACAAATGTAAGAACGTTCACATCAGCTTTCATCATAATAGCCCAAACCTGGAAACAACCTAAATGTCTGTTAGCAGGAGAATGGATAGATGCACTGTGATATATTCTTACAATGGAATGCTACAGAACAATGGAAAAGAACAAACTATAGCCTCATGCTATATGCACAGGTGAACCACACAGACATAATGCTCAGTGAAAGAAGCAAAAGAGTATATATTGTACAGTTCCTTTCATACGAATGAAGTCGAACAATAGGAGAAATTAACTACGGTGCTAGAAGTCAGAATAGAGGCTTCCTTTAGAGGGGAACAATGGGACAAGGCATGAGAGAGCCTTCTGGTGGGCTGGAAATGTTCTATGTTTCCATCTGGAGGGTGGCCATAGAGGGTACATCGTATACAAGTACTCACTGAGATGTGTACTAAAGATCACTTTACAGCATTCCTCGAAAACATTGTAAAGGGGGAAATAATAGTCTTTTTTTCTGGTAAATTTTTAAAAATCTTTATTTTTGAGAGAGAGAGAGAGAGAGAGAGAGAGCGCGCGCGCAGGGGAGGGGCAGACAGAAAGGGAGACACAAGAATCGGAAGCAGGCTCCAGGCTCTGAGCCGTCAGCACAGAGCCCGACGCGGGGCTCGAACTCACGAACCACAGATCACGACCTGAGCTGAAGTCGGACGCTTAACCGACTGAGCCACCCAGGCGCCCGGAAATAATAGTCTTTTGAACAAATGGTGCTGGTACCAGTGTACATCAATATGCAAAAGAATCGAGCTGGGCCTCGTCCTTATACCATATACAAAAGTCAACTCAAAATGGATCATAGATCTCAATGTAAGAGCTAAAACTATAAAATTTTTAGAAGAACACGTCAATCTTTGTAACCTTGGGCTAGGAAACGGGTATACACGGGACACCAAAAGCACAAATGGCGAAAGAAAAAAATAGGTAGACTGGACTCTATCAACATTGAAAACGTTTATGCTGTAAATGTTACCACCAAGAAAGTGAAACGACAACTCACGGGATGGGAGGAAATGGTTGCTAATTATGTATTTAATAAGGGTATACAATCCAGAATATATAAAGAACTATTATAATTCAATAATAAAAAGACAAATAATCCCATTTTAAAATGGGCCAAGGGGTACCTGGGTAGCTCAGTGGGTTAAGCATCTGACTCTTGGTTTTGGCTCAGGTTGTGACCTCACGTTTCGTGAGTTCAAGCCCTGCATCGGGCTCTGTGCTAGCGGCAAGGAGCCTGCTTGGGACTCTCTCTCCTTCTCTCTCTGCCCCTCCCCTACTCATGCCCGCACTCCCACAAAATAAATAAGTGAAAAATAAACAAAATAAAATAAAAATGGGCCAAGGTTCTGAATAGACATTCCTCCAAAGTAGATCTACAAATGGCCAAAAGTCACACAAACAAGATGATGCTTGACATCATTAGTCATTAAAGAAACGCAAATCAAAGCCTTAAGTAGATACCGCTCGTGCCCTCGGCTAGCTATAATGACAATTTTTAAAAAGACAGTAAGAACTGTTGGTGAGGATGGAATACATTGCTGGTGGGAATATAAAATGGGGCCGCTGCTTAGGAAAACAGTTTGGTAGTTCCTCAGAAAGTTAAATATAGAGTTACCATGTGACCCAGAGATTTTGCTGCTGGGTATACATCCAAGACAATCAAAAATATACCCACACAAAAACTTGTACATGAATGTTCATGGCTGTGTTATTTATATTAGCCAAAAAAATGGGGGGAAAAAAACAAAAGTCTATCAACTGATGAAGGACAAAATAAAATGTGACGGGTTCATACAAAGGAATCTACAATGAATTATTACTCCCTGAAGCACAGATCAGGCTCCAACAACGATGAATCCCGAAAACAGTATGTTAATTGGAAGAAGCCAGTCACCAAAGGCTGCATATTACATGATTCCATTTCTGTGAAATGTCCGGAATAGCAAATCTATAGACAAAGGAAATAAGTAGTTGCCAGGGGATGAGGGGAGTGAGGCCGGAGGAGGAGGATGGGGCATCACTGCTAATGGTAAGGGATTTCTTTTCTTTTCTTTTTAAAATGTTTTTATTTATTTTTTGAGAGAGAGAGAGAGAGACAGAGCATCAGCAGGGGAGGAGCAGAGAGAGAGGGAGTCTGAAGCATGCTCCAGGCTCTGAGCTGTCAGCACAGAGCCCGACATGGGGCTCGAACTTGTGAACCACAGATCATGACCTGAGCTGAAGTCAGACCCTCAAACGACTGAGCCACCCAGGCGTCCCAAGGGATTTCTTTTCTGGGGGATGAAAATATTTTCAAATTCGATTGTAGTGATGGCTGCACAACCTTGTGAATATACAAAAAAAACTGGAATTATACACTTTAATTAGGTGAATTGTATGGTATATGAGTTATATCTCAATAAAGCTATTTAAAAGTGTGTGTGTGTGTGTGCGCGCACGCGCGTGCGCATGTCCTAATCTATTTCACGGCCTTGGCCCCATCCTGAGTTACAGGATCTGGAAGCTACCGGATGAGAGATACGCACGGATGGAGCTGAAAAAGCAAGACCATATCCTAACGTGACCCCAGACAGCAGCTGGGATAATCCTGGGGTCTGTATGTCCGCGTGCACACGTGCATACAACTTCCTACCCTGGCTATTCATCCTCAAGGACAAATGTGAAATGGCAAAGAGCTCAGGTCCACAGCTTTGACACCGCTTCACTGGGCCGATGGTTCTCAAGCCTCTGACCCATGGCTCTGTGCAGGAGATTCCCAGGGCTGGCTTCCCTCGGGGTTATCAGCAAAGGAGACCGGCCCATTCTAGAGCTGCACTGCCCAACAGAAACAGAATTCCAGCCACATGTGTCATTTTAAATGTTCTACCAGCCACGTTTTTAAAATGTAAAAAGAGGGGCGCCTGGGTGGCGCAGTCGGTTAGGCGTCCGACTTCAGCCAGGTCACGATCTCGCGGTCCGGGAGTTCGAGCCCCGCGTCAGGCTCTGAGCCATCAGC